TTATGTGAACTACAGAAGGATGATTTTCGTTATGTTAGTTATGGCTTCAACTAGCAAAAAATGATAAATAAATCCATCAGACGCTGATTTCGAAGAAATGACTCAAAAATGTGTGATGAGTCTTCTTGAAAATCTGGAGATGCACTAAACGTTATTCTTGAGTCTACGGAATCTGACACTAATTATGCACCAGAGTCGGATGAAGAAGACATTTTTAGTGAAACCGACGACGAAGAGGAAGTATTACATTTCGTATCAAGTGGTGAAGTGATGATTGCACCAAATGATGGAGAATGGTTTACAAATACAGTAAGAAAATCAGGAAAGTATGCCTTACCCAACATAGTAGCATGTATTCCGAGGTTACGATGCAAAGGTAAAATATTTACTCCTGTCGAAACAGAATCATTATCTGCGCAAATCTTCCCGTGCTTGTTCTCTCAAGAACAAAACTTGACAATTCATTTAAAATGACGAACTAAATGCATTTTTAGGAATAATGCTTAGGGCTAGTGTTGAAAAGAGTTGGGACGTTCTAATTAATGAAATATTTTTGGATAAGTGTTCATAAGTAAGTAATCATATTTACTAAGCTTGCATCTATATCTGTAAATAGATATAAAAAGATTACTACGATTCGATGATAAAACAACCAATTTATTATGAGATATGTTTATAAATCAGTGTAAAACTGTATTGACACCAAACATTGATGTAACAATTGATTAACAATTACTTAGCTGCCGCAATAGATGTGGATTTATCCAATATATGCCTATTAAGTCAGCCTAGTACGGCATTAAGTTCTTCTGGTTATTGGAATCAGAAAGTGGAGATGCTAATAATGAAAATCATATGTTGGAAGACGGCCATGTGAAGAAATTCAATACGTCATAGTTCCAGAAATCCAGTAATTGGTTAATTTTGTACAAATGTTGACTTGTTTGCAAAATTATTGTCACTTGGAAGTACTGCAGTAAACAAGGAAAGGCCTGTACATTCTTCTTGTTTTGGATTTTGCGGAGATGTTATACTGGTGAATTACATGCCCAAAAAAAAATAATTAAGCTGTGGTATTGATAATGACATAATAATAAAACAGAAATTATAAATTTCTATAATAAAAGAAAAAGATGTGTTGACATAATGGATTAGAAAATTGAAAATTACACGAGAATATCCACAAGGATCGAAAACATTTTAGTACCATAGACCACTTGCACATCGTAAGAACACTATTAGAAAAATGCACCGAGCATAATATTCCAATTCATATGGCATTCGTCAATTTCCATAAAGCCTTCGATTCCATCGAATTATGGGCAGTACTTGAATCTCTAGAAAACCCACGTATAGATTTAAGATACACTAACATAATTAAAAACATATATGAAAATGGCACTATGCAGATAAAGACGGACGAAAGCACAAAAACTAATCCCATAAGACTACAACTGGGAGTAAGACAAGGAGACATTATCTCTCCCAAACTATTTACGCTTGCTCTAGAAGACATTTTTAAGAAACTAGAATGGAACAAGGGTATCAACGTCGACGGATCATACCACCTTGAGATTCGCAAATGACATAGTTTTAATAGCCGATAATATCCAAGAACTAAATGAGATGTTACAACAATTAAATGCAGTTTCAGGAGCGGTAGACTTAAAAATGCACTACAGTAAAAGAAAAATACTGAGCCAAGACCAGACAAATATAATAATACAAAATCATACCATAGAAAATGTTGAATATGTCTAATCAAATATATCTTGAAAACACCCAAAAAAATCTGCTAAAAAATTAGAAACAACGCAAAGAGCAATGGAACAAATCATGCTTGGAATATCACTGAGAGACAAGATTAGAAACACCGAGATAAGACGTAGAACGAAGATTAGAGATATTGTGGAAGAAATTACAAAAATGAAATGGCGCTGGGCAGGTCATATATCCCGATATAATGACAATAGGTGGACATGGAGAATTCTAGAATGGAGACACGACAACAAGAAGCATGGGAAGACCTCAAAAACGATGAGTAGACGACATAAGAGCAGTGGCAGGAAAAGAGTGGATTGGATTGGCACAAGATAGAGAAAGATGAAAGCAATTGTGAGAGACCTACATTCAGGAATGGATGAAAAATGGTTGACAAAGAGAAGAGAAACTGATTCATGCTGTTAAATTAAGGTTTCTGTACTTTTATCTGTTTTAATGTATTATTAAAAAAATTGCTCAATAGAAGCTAATATACTAGTCGGGTATTTGTTACCCATTTTACCTGTTTACCAAGAACGGTCGAGTCATGCATCCTAGGATTAAATATCATTTTGAAACTTACAACTAAAATTGGGCACGAATGTATAAATCAAAGGATAAGTTTGACAGATGAACAATAAAATCGTCAGAACAAAATAAATCAACGGTTATATATTTGATAGACTTTTACTTAACCTAAATATGTAATAAATTTTTTGTAAAATTAACGGGAAAAACCACGTAGTTGGCTGTATGCCATCGTTTAAAAAAAAACTCAGAAGTTAAAACACTTCACACTTGTATTGTCGTATAAAAAAACAAATAGTTAAAACTTTATAAAAAGTGTCGTCAAAATTTAAGTTCTAGCATAACGTTTTCGATCTGAACAGATCATCCTCAGTGCCTTGTGTAATTGTAGCTATGTAACAATAAAATTATCTATGAGATCTCCATATATGGATTTACAGCATTCCAAATGTTACATTTTGATTATGTTGTGACTCTAGGTCGATGACAATGGATAGATTTTTAATTACTTTAGGAACTACATGTCTCCCTGCTCGATTTTTTAACACGTGGTACTTGTCAGTTAATTTTTTTGTGTAATAAAGGAGTTCTCTTGGATATCATAAAAAATTATTAAAAATATCTACCAAAACATGAAATTAGTTTGGATCGAGTATGAGAACTAAAACAAAACAAAATACATGCAATCAATAGAAAAAAGCGAAGGAATGCAAATTGACACTAATAACAATAAACGATAATACAATAACATGCCAGCAAACGAATGGAAAAGATACCCGACGGAACTGTTTAAAGGAAAGAAAAATAATAATCAACACAATAACGTACCTGAATTAAGACACGACATAGAAATCAGTTTTCAGGAAGTAGTGATAGCCATAAATTCATTCAAAAATAAAAAGTCACCAGGTCCAGACGAAATAACCAACACGGAGGGGAAAGTGTAAACCTAGAGATGATAAAACTTATACAAAAACTAATATTGCACTGTCAGATACAAGACGCAGGGAGAAACAGCATATTGATACCAATGTTCAAGAAAGAAGATAAAGAAAACTCCAACGATTATGGAGGTATAAACCTACTGAACACCGCACTTACGCTTACCACAAAAGTCCTAACCAACAAAATCAATAAACTAACAACTTTATCAGATGAACAACAAGGATTCAGATCTGGAATCTGTCGTCTAAGTAGACGACATATTTGTACCAAGACAAATCACAAAAAAGACCATAGAGTACAATAAACCAGCATATCTGTGTTTTATAGACCTGGCAAAGGCTTTCGATCGCATCCAAGTCGAAGACATCTTACACCTACTGTATGAAAGAAACATACCAATCTATACTATACAAACCATCGAAAATATCTACTTCCATAATTGAATACAGGCAAAGATAAATGGAAAACTAACACAGTGTATATCAATACAAAGAGAAGTCAGACAGGGTGACTCGTTAAGCCCACTTCTCTTTAATATAATAATGGACTAAATAATACAAGCAGTACGCATGGTTACAGAATAGGCAACAAACAGATCCAAATATTATGTTATGCAGAGTACGCCGCATAAATCGTTGAGACAGAAGACGAGCTCCAAAGATTAACACACATCTTCAATACAACAGCCAAAAATACAATATAATAATATCAGCATAAAAAACCAAATGTATGACAACATCTAAATTCCCTCTACGATGTAAAATCGAAATTTATGGGAAAATAATGAAGCAGGAAGCAAAGATATCTGGGAATAGATATAACTAGTTACGGAAATGTTGAAGAAGTAAAACAACAAAGCTTAAAAGCAAGTAAGCGGGGATCTCTTAATGCCACAATCTGGAAGAACAAACACCTACGACAAGACAAAAAAACAAAAATTAATAAAGCAGCAATTAGAACTATATTAACATACACAGCAAAGACAAGATCTGACACATCTCAAACGAGACGACTACTAGAAACAACAGAGATGAAAATACTCCGAGGAATATCAGGGAAAAATCTATTGGATAGGCAGAGAAGCGAAAACATAAAAAGAGCATGTAATATAGAAGACGTAAATGGATGGGCAACAAAACAGAAACAGGAGTGGAACGAACACATTGGTAGAATGGCAAAGGATAGGATAGTACGAACAGCACGAGATAAGTTACCAAATGAACGAAGAAGTATGAGCAGACTAAGAAGAAGATGGTGCGATAATTTAAACACTTTAGGAGACTAATATTGAAGAAAAAACAGGCTTTAATGTCTACATAAAAGAAAAAAGAAGAACAATAACCGTATTTTTTTTAAATAAATAGAAAAGAAGAAACTTTTTTTAAATATTAAATACTAAGAGTTGGCAGAAGAAATACAAAGATTATTTAAAAAGGAGACTTAGAACACTACCGCCCTTACAGTCAGAAAAAAAAAGACTTAAATATCTACTTGAAAACAAAGGAAGAAGATTTTCATTCGGTGCAACCGAAATTTCAATATAAACAAAATTGTTATACGATATTGAACACAATTTAAATAAAATAGTATAAATAGTTAATGGTTTGTATTATTTAAAGAGTTTCAAGACTTCATATATTATATTGTAATTAATTTCAAGAATAGTTTAAATTAATGTATGCTAAGACCTTTTTGTACTGCACTAAATTTTAAAATTTTTAAAGTTAAAAAATTAACGAATATTTAATTAAAAAACTGATACATACTGTTCTTTTCCTCCTCCGAATGTTCCAGTGCTCAAGGCAACGTGCAAGGCCAGAATCAGCACCGCCTAAAATCAAAGAACGTTAACAATGAACAATCGACTAACGAATTTACTTACAAATAATTTTGGGTACATCTTTTCCGGATCGCGAGTGTGCGATAACCTTGTACTGCGAGTGATTGCGCTCCATCATCCCCTGTATCTTTAATTTATACCGACCATTAGAGAATCACCCACAGTTGATAACTGTCACTCGGAGAGGGAGTTCGTGGGGATTTGAAGAAGTTTAAGATGATATAATTCACCATAACGGCCGTGACCCAGTGCGTCTGCTGCCGACGAGAGTGAAAGAGTTGAGTACGGTCTTTGAAAGGTCATTGAAACATCTATTATTGTGCACTTGAGTTCACTTTCTTTAATTATATTTCTCATACGGTCTTCATCGTGATACAATATTTTCAGGGGTTATGTAACGCTTTCTCCTAGTTCGTCGAGGGAGCTATTGCTAGATGTATTAATTTATTAATGGGAGGTCAGATTAGGTGCAAAAACCAGGAAATAATTTGGGTTCTTGTTCGTTGTGGTTAGGAAGTCATCTTGAATGGCATGTTTCTCGCATAAAATGCGTTACGAATAGAAACCTATTATTAAATGAATTTCCTTTTCTTTGTTAAAACAGTCATTTAATTAGTATTCTCTACTTCTACTACGTTGTTAAATAATAGTCACAATTTCGACATCATCATTCAATTAATTTTAAGTACTAACTTTAAATTAATAATTTTTTTGCCCATTCAGGATTTTGTAATTTAAATGCCATATTGCTCGCGATCTTATAATTTTGTAAACGTAGGGTTGGAATTCTTTATACTTAAGGTTTTATCGATATCTTTCACACTCTCGTGCATTTTCCATCATTCTTCTTTTTGTTTATATTTTATTGTTCAATAAAAAAACCAATAATGCCCTTATTTTCAACAGGCGTACACCTAATCACAGTCTATATAGAAATAACTTCTTGTGGGTCAATCTTTATGTGGTCGCCAACCTTGTCCCTCGGCTGCCATCTTGGAAAAAGGGGGAAATGGTTTTCGCGCTGTATCTCGTAAACTAGTACTCCTACAAAAAAATTTAAAAAAATATTATTTGTAGCAAATTAAATTGTTTACAACTTTATTTCTATTACTTTTAATGGTAAAATGGAAAATAAAAAGTTATAAACAATATTAACTAAACATTTTGGAACAAACTTTCTTTTAGGCCTTATAAGTTTTTTTTTAAGAAAACACCATGGTTTAAAGAAATAAAACACATTTTCTTTTCTTTTTCTTCAGTCATCTTACATTAAAATAAAGAGGAATATTATAAAGGGGTTTTGCAACGATTCATTTTCACTACAAATTTGTATAATTACGTTAATTTTTCTGGGTTTTAAGAATACAGTAAAAACGAACCATTAGACTTAGTTTTCTATTATATAATTTTTTCATTCATATCATTTTAATTCAATTTATTATATTCTTGCCATTCCTTTATTATCATTAATTTATAGTATAAGATCCTATTATAAGAAAGGCTTTCACCGATTTGTTTAATGGATAAAAATTATTTGATGGGTAATAAGTATGCTAAAAATGATAAAAAACAAGAGTTAATAATTAATTAATTAATAATAATTAAAAAATTACTATAAAGATATTTTATTCAGTAGAAAACTTTTATTATTCTAATCCATAAATATAAATATAAGATTTGTAAAACATTGATTCCAATTAGTGATTTGTATTCTATTTCTGATTCATCGGAACTAAAATTTTCATTATTGCCTACGCTACGTTCGCCATCATCATCCGTCGTTTTGAGAGTGTCTTTCTTTGACATAATTTTAAAAATTCAGAGCCAAATCAATGCAGTTGATGCAATCAATTTATGGGTTATGCAACTTTTTAGTTGGTGAAGAGGGTAGTCAAATTCCTGATTGTCAAATTTTCTGCATATTTCCCAGGAAAATCACCTAAACATTAGTATCCGAAGCTCTAATTAACATCCTTGATCCAGATGCAATTTTATGAGCGTGAAAAACAATTCGTGTATCTGTTTCTATCACTTTTTTTTTAATGTAATTATTGTGAACTTGATACGACTAGCACTGACGATTAACGGATAAAAATATTTTCTTGTTTTGGATAATTGTGAGAAAATTTTTACTATCCCAATAATCAGCCAAAAACAATACCAGTGCCTCTGACGACAGTTTTTAAGGCTTTGCAAACAATCTTTCGCTCTAACTTGTTGAGCTCCTAAAATTTTATATGGAATATCGAATTCTTTTCGAGCTTGATGTTTCAAGTGATTTCAAAGTTTTCGCAAATGTTACTTTAAGAGTTTTCAACATTTCAGCAGTATGAATGAATACTAATGTTTGTATATAATTACGTGGCTAAAGTTTCTAAACCAAGGTTAAAATACAAAAAATATATAAATAAAGCTCTGTCGAATTTGTGAAAGAAAACGCTCAAACTTCGGCCCTAATGCTATTGTAGGTTTTTCTGTAATTCGTGAATTTCACTTCTCAGTTCACTGAATAAAAGAAGTGTTCATATATTTTTATTAATTAATAAGGACCGAGGCCAGGATCAATCCTACTTGGTTAGAACATCTTGTATTATTCTAATGTGATGTAACGTAGGTTAAAGGATACTTTTGATTAAAATCAGACACCAATATCAATATAATATATTCATTTTTAAATTCATGAACAGACTTCTCAGCACAATAAAAAGGAATTATCTAATATCTAACTTGACTTATTTATGGAATAAAAATTTATAATATTTACTTAAATTATGAATCGCAGTGATTATGTAAGATCGTTACGCAGCATCTTTAGCCTAGTTTGATGGAACATGCTATGTATCAAATTTAAAAGATATAAAAATAAGAGTTTTTTATGTCATATTATGTCATATCGTATAAGAATAAAGTTCATGTTTTGAACACAAATAAATAGCTGTTTTTAAAACTCTACAACTATATTAAATACATACCACAAATGATTCAAATGTTTACTACAGTATTTAAAATTATAGTTTTAGTACAGTATTGTGCTAATTAATGGAATCACTGTGAATTTTTTTTTCATTTTTTCAATATTCACAGTTGGCAACACTATCTACACAGTTGACAGCTGACCAAGCATTGAAAACATAACCTTACTGTGTGTTGGTATGCTTGAGTGTGTTTTAGGTCATTTCTTACCAAGCTTGTGTTGTTTTGGGGGTTTTTGTACTATTTTGTGTTATTTTTGGTTTTATTCCAACATGAATATTATGCCTAGGAAGCGTGAAAAGATTGTCACGTTGAGTGAACACACTAGTATGTCACAAAGAGAGATTGCTAGAACGTGTGGAGTGAGTCAGGGGGTAGTAAGCAAAATTTTGAAGCGTAAACGAGAAACGGGATCAGTGGATGTGAAAAGGTTAGGAAAATGTGGAAGAAAGAGAAAAACAACACCAGCAGATAATAGATTTTTACTTCGAAAGAGCAAATTGGACCCAAGAAAATCAAGCCAAGACCTACAACAAAATCTAGCAGCATCAGCTATAGTAATTCATGACTCAACTGTTCGTAGAAGACTTTTGGAGAATGGTAGAAGGGCAATTCGTCCACAGAAAAAACAGCTTCTAACTGAACGAATGAAGAAACAAAGGCTATTGTGGGCCAAAAAAAAATACTCTAATTGGTCTGTAGGCGACTGGAAAAAAGTCCTATTTAAAGATGAAACCCACTTTATAGTTCAGGGACAGCGGTCGAAATTCGTCAGGAAGTCTGACAATGAAAAGCTTACACCATCTCATATTGATCAAACCGTAAAACATCCAGTCAAGAAAATGTTTTGGGGATGTTTTCCATACATGGGGGTTGGATCTTTGGTGCCATTTGAAGGCATGATGAACGGCCAAAAATACAAATCCATGTTGGAAAAGTATTTGGACAAACAACTCCAAAAATGTCAACCCCAAGGAGGAGCGATTCTTCAACAGGACTCTGCTCCCTGTCACAAATCAAAGGAAACGATGGCATTTTTCAAAAATAAGAAGATTAATGTTTTAGATTGGCCCGGTAATTCGCCCGACCTTAACCCCATTGAAAATTTATGGGCCGTTTGCAAAGCTAGACTGCGAAAAATCGACTGCGCCACTAAAACAAAAATGATAGAAGCGGCCATTCAGGTTTGGTATCGAGATGAAAGGATATCTGACAACTGCCAGAAAGTCATAGAATCTATGCCAAAACGGGTAAAAGCAGTAATTGCTGCCAAAGGGTGACATATTTCCTACTAAATGATGTAAGTTTACCTTTATAGTTTTGTCAAAATATAATTTTTTACTAAATAAACTGTTTTTTTCATTAAAACAGCCTATGATTCCATTAATTTGCACAATACTGTATTTTCTCCATTTATTCATAAATATTCTTTTCTTTTTAATTAACCCTGTATTGTCCAATTTTTTTTACTGCAAAAAATTTTTTCTGTTATCTACTTATAGGCATAGGATCAAATTTAAAAAAATTTGAAGATTTTTTTTTAATTCTTCATTTTTTTTTTGTTTTAATAGGGTTTGTGATTCAAGTTACAATGGAAAAAAAGTTAATTTTTTTTAAAAGTATACAAATTAATTAGCAATAATTTTCTTGCACATTTGATTGAATTTGGGTATTTGATTTCTGTTTTCAAAGCCATGCCATGGCTGATTTTATAGTAAATAAAGTTTTAACTGACTCATCTACTTCATATTTGATACATCAGACAAATCCAATAACATCATCCATATTGGTAACTTAGTTTAAAACAATAACAAGTAAAGCGGTATCAGTTACTTCACATTTTGGAGCCAATGAAACTGTTCAAACTGACATAACTCAATATGGGTATTGAAATCAATATTTCAGCTTTTGCACCGATAATAGTTTAATTTGTTCCTTGAAGATTTGTTTACTTAATATATTTAGTTTTTTCGAATCAGAAGATGATCTCCAAAGGCAGCTATTTCAGTTCTTTCAAACAAGCCGACTACTAAATATGAACATCTCTACCAACAAAACTAAATGTATGACAATAGCAAAAGATCCGC